ATTGGTTCCTGGGATTTTATTGTACTAAATTATTTAAAAAATCAAATGAGCAACTGATGGAGCTTTTAAGCTGCCTCTTCCATACTTCCCCTCTCCCCCAGGAACAACTTGCCATAGAGACTTTGAGGCGCTCCCAGAGCAGCAGCCTTGTTGAAGTTCCCCAGGAGAGGTTGAGGGGCGGAAGCAGAGCTTCACTTTTTTGTCTTCTGAGATGTCGGGGGGGGGGGGGGGGGCTGAGAAGGGGGAGTAGTTAGAAAACAAATGTTCTGTGCCAGAGACAAAGGAAAGTGATATCAACTCAAGTTCTGGGCTGTCCCAGCTTCTTTCCCCCACCCCCACCCAAGTGGTTCAGGACCTCCATCAACTCCAATGGCTCCTTCTCCTCACACTTACCTTTCTAAACTGATTGCACGTCATTCCTCTTTATAAGCTCTCCCATTTAGCCAGACTAGTATGCATGCTGTTTCTCACACCACACTCTCCATCTCCCAACTCCAGGCCTTTGTCCTGGCTGTTCCCCATGCCTGGAATTCCCTCTTTACCTCTGATTCTTAGGATTCCAAGTTTGCTTCAAAGCGTCTCCTTCCTACATGAAGCTTTTCTTGATCTTCCCAACCTCCTCCCAAAATTAGCTTCCATTCACCTTATTTGATTTGTTTATGTTCACATAATAATAGCTAGTATTCATATAGGCTTGCAAAGCACTTTACAAATATTACCTCATTTGATCCTTGCAAGAGTTCTTTGAGGTAGGTGCTACTATGATCTCCATTTTACAGATTGTTGTTCTGCCTTCATTTTCAAAGAGGACCAATGACATCACTGTTCATTTGCTGTTACTGATGGTTCCACGTATGAATGGTGTAGTGCTGGCTGGTGGAGAACCTATATTTTCTTGGTATTAGTTGTCAGGCCAAAATTAGCACAAGTGGCAGAGAACTGATCCATACTCTGTTGTATCTCAGTCTCAGAGGCTGCATTGAGTGCACAATCATCTGCAAACAAATAGTCATGCACCAACTCTCCCTCCACTTTAGTACTGGCTCGTAGTCTTTTTGAGTTAAATAATTTACCATTGGTGAGATGACCTTTTGTCCTCATTCAAGGCATCTGTCTGACAACATCTTGCTAAAATACATAGGAAGAAGCAGACAGCCTTGCTTCATTCTATTGACTGCGAAAGCATGAGAGCATTATCCATTATCCAGAACCCAGGCAAACATGCCATCCCGAAACTGATATACAAGACTGATGAACTTCTCTGGGCAACCAAATTTTGCTATAATTTTCAACAAGTTCTCATGACTGACAGTATCAAAGGCCTTGGTCAGATCAAACTCTACTGCAGAGGATGCAACTTGGATGGGCTGGCCACGTTGTTTAAGTGCCAGACATACATTTGCCTAAAAAAGACTATTTTACAGAGAACTCACGGAAGGCAAGCACTCAGCGAGAGGTCAGAAGAAGCAATACAAGCACACTCTCAGGGTCTCGACTATGAGATGTGGGAGACACCCAACATGGCGTGCCCACATCAAAGAAGGTGCTGTGCTTTATGAGCGAAGCAGAATTACAGTAGCTCAAAAGAAACATGAAATGCACGTCTCCACTCCAAATGTTCACATAGACTATTTGTGCAAAACTGTGGTAGTGGCGTCTGAGCTGGTATTGGATAGTAAGACAATAGTAAGACATACAGCACCTTGACTCCAACATAGTGATATCATTTTGGTTGTCTTTGAGAATCAAGGACAAAACGAGACAACCAACCACGTGCCAGGCACTGTGCTAAGCACTTCGCAATTATTTACTCATTTGAACCTCACGAGAACCTTGGGATGGAGATGCTATTATTATCCTCATTTTATAGAATGGGGAAAACTGAAGCAGACTGAGAAACTGATGGGGAAACTGAGGTAAGCAGTGGTTGAATGACTTCATTCATTAGCAGGTATATATATGTAGATATATATTGTGTGTATATATATACATATATGTGTATATATGTACACACACACACACACAGTGGCTGCTATGTACCAAGCATTAGACTAACCACTAGGGATACAAAGATAAAGTAGTACCTGGTCTCAAGGAATTTATAGCCTATTGGAGGGGAGGGGAGGGTGAAGACTGAGAACTAGAATTATATAGTGCTTTAAGGTCTGCACAGCACTTTACAAATATTATTTCATTTGACCCCACACACACATACAACAACCTTGAGATACAGGTATTATTATCCCTATTTTATAGGTGGGAAAACTAAGGCAGAGGTTAAATACCTTGTCCAGGCTCACACAGATAGTATCTGGGTCAGAAATTGAGCTCAGGTCTTCCTGACTCCAGCTGCAGCTGTCTATCCACTGTGCCATCTGCCTACCTCTTAACACATACAGAAAAATAAATATTTGCACACACAAAAAAAATACAAGGTAATTTCCAGGGGAGAAGGTGCTACCAGTTCAGGGCATCAAGGGAGGCTTCCTGGAGGAGATGTCTCTGAAAGAATTTTGGAATTCTATAAGTCAGAGGCAAAGAATGTATTCCAGGAGCACAGGACGTCCTGAGCCATCACATGGAAATGGAGATGGAATGCTGTGTAGGGGAGATGGCAGGTGGGTTGTGAGGGCTGAAACTTGAATGCATGAAGGAGAATAATGTTCTATGTGTCTGGAAAAGTGGCTGGAGTCTGCAGGTGAAGATCTTTAAACACCAGATGAGTTTAGAGGCAAGAGGGAGGGACCAGAACCTCTTGAGTAGGGGAGGGGAATGGTCAGATCTATGCTTTGGGAAAACTATTTTTTATGCATTTAATATGCAATACATTCTCTTCTGCTGCAATCTCTTGTTTTACACAATTTGGCATTGTGCTCACCAAATTTTGACATGAGTTCTTTAATTCATCAGGAAACCACACATGGCATTGGGTATTAAGTGGATATCTGACAGCCTTTTTTTTTTCAGTTCTGGCTTTGATTGTATCCAATAAGGTTTTCCCCCCAATTTCCTTATTTTATTTCATTTTTCAATTAAGAAGCATTTATCCTTCCACCCTACCCCAATTTTAAAGAAAAAAGAAAGACAATAGCCTTGTAAGAACTAAACATGGTGAAGCAAAACAAGTGAGGCTGCCTATCTTAGCAGTTGTGAGTAAAATGAGTTGGAAAGGGATGGGAAGGGAAGCAGGGAGCCTGATTAGGAGGCTGCTGCAGTGTGTTGTATTCCAGGTGAGAACGGGCTAGCCGTCACGTGAGAAGGAGCTGGAGAAAAGCAATCAGAGATCGGAAGGAACAAAACCCAGCCGCTGATTGTGGACCCAGCTCAGCAAGAAATGAGGAAACAAGGCTAAGAGAAGGTAAATGAGTTAGGCAACATCATTCAGCTAGTAAGTGGCAGAGTCAGGACCTTTGGCTCTCAATTCAGCGCTCTGTCCAATGTACTCCATTCGCCACTTCCAACCTGTGTGTGTGTGTGTGTGTGTGTGTGTGTGTACACATATACACATATAGATGTGTGTGTACATTTACATGTAATATATAGGTATGTTATGTGTATATGGGGTATTTTTGTTATTGTTGTTTCTGACTCTGTGACCCCATCTGGGGTTTTCATGGCAGAGATACTGGAGTGGTTTTGCCATTTTCTTCTCTAGCTCCATTTGACAAATGAGGAAACTGAGGCAAACAGGATTAAGTAACTTGCCCAGGGTCATGAGTGTCTGAGGCCAGATTTGAACTCAGAAAGTCTTCCTGACTCCAGACCTGGCACTCAATCCACTCCACTTAGCTGCCCCAATATGTGATATATATATGTAATATAGTTTATAACATATTGCACATATATATTAATAATATAATAATTGATCATAATATACTATAACATAATATTAGCATTGCATATAATATATACATAGATATATGTATGTGTGTGTATGTTTTTAAAACAGCTACTCAGTGGCAAAGTTGGCTCTAGTGCCAAGTTCTCCTGACCCAAACTGGTGCTGCTTTTCACATCACACGACATTGCCTTCCACAGAATGAGTGAGTAACTGGGTGGAGGAGGAGGAGTAGAGGGTAGGACCCCAGTTTAATTCCCTCAGGCAAACTACTTACCTTCTCTGGGTTTTGTGGGATTCTAGATTTACAGCTAGAAGGGACTTTAGATATCATCTAGTTCAACTCCCTCACTTTATAGATAAGGAAACTGAGGCTCAGGTGAAGTGACTTGCCCCAGGGTCACACGGCTATTACATGTCAAGTGTCTGAGGCCAATTTTGAACTCAGGTCCTCCTAACCCCGGGGCGGGTGGTCCCTATACACTGCACCACCTAGCTGCCCCTCTCTCTTCCTCTCTTAAAAGTGAGGTTACACAGGTAGAAAGGAGCTATCCCCAGATTCAAGCCCGGGTTCTTTGATTCCAGATTGAGGATTGCAGATTGCATAGAATCCTAAATCTAGATCTGTAATCCAAGTGATATAGCTCATCTTATCCTACCCCTTCTTATTTTACTGAGGGGAAAACTGAGATCCAGAGGAAGTGAAAGGACTTGCCCAAGGTCACACAGTTACTAGTGATAGACTTAGGATTCAAACTCAGGTTTTGGGTCTCCAAAGTCCATTTCGCTGCCTCTGTTTCCTATCTGTAGAATGAGGAGGTGAGATTCGATGTTCTCTGGTTCTCTTCCAACTGTCATTCCTATCATCTAATAACGCTTTTAAATATGGTGGGGGAAGGGAGCTAGGAAGACAGAGAGAGGAAAGGACACCCCTTCCCTCCAACCTCCAACCCTTTCTCAGGACCAGAAGCTCCAGAGGGCCGCGGTGCTGCGGTGCCGGACTCCATGCAATGCCCAAGGAGGGTTCGGAGCCTTTTCTGACCTCCAGGTCTGCGCCTCCTGGTCTCTCTCCTGCAGCCTCGGGAACATGGCAGGCTCTTGGACCCGGCGGACGCGCCCGCCCGCCTCTCTCCATCTCTATATTAGCCAGAGCTCGCTCTCTCCACGTACAGTACTTTTGGCTTCCTCCCCGCTGGCCACCAGGCTGGCTGCTGGGGCGCAGTCCGGGCTGCAGTGCTGAACCGGCGCTGGCTCCGGCTGAGCAGGAGGACCAGTGGGTTCTGCTGCTGCTGGGGTACGCTGCACCGAGGTGCTCTCCTCCTAGCGCCTCCCCGCCTGAACCTGCGCTCCCCTGCCCATCTTGGGGGCATCCCAGGGCAGTGGAGTAGAAGGGTGTCCGCGCGGGCTGCTCCCCAGCTCTGTCCCAGGCCGGCATAGCCTCTCCTCATCTAGCTCCCTTCTGGAAGGATGGGCTCTTCCCAGTCCACATCGGAGGAGGTCCGGGAACTCGTGGGCAAGACTGGTTGTGAGTACCCCCTGGGGTTGGGCCGGCTGCCTGTTGGGGCTCCCAGGGCAGGGGGCTCTCCTTTCTGTCCTGCAAGGACTCCCCGCTTTGTTCTCGATTGCCCTGACTGGGCTCTCACTGCTTGGGGTCGATCCACTTTCTTGTCATTCCTCTTGGAGGGGGAGGAGAAGGGCACAGGGGAGCCAGTCTGGAAGTGAGAGGTGTTCGGGGAGACCTCTGCGGTGCGGGGAAAGTGGACGTGGGAATGCCAACAACTATCACAACTAGTAGGGGAGAGGGTGTGTGATGGAGTGGGTGGAGAACTGGGCTCAGAGGCAGAAAGTCCCGGGTTCGAGTCCGCCCCTGACCCAAACCGGCCGTGTGACGCTGTGTGTCTCAAGTCCCTCAGTGCCCCCAGACAACTCCTGGAGACTAGAAGTTTCAGGCGCCGGGCAGGGCCGGTTTGCCTCGGTAAAGCCAGTTCCCTGCAATGAGGAAGTCTCAGGACTGGACCAAAGATTAAACAAATAAAATTACTGTCATTTCTCCAGCACTTTTAGGCGAATGGGTTCAGTTTGGAGCAAGACAACTTGTTGAGGTGGGCTTGAAAGTCAGGAAAGCCTGGATCCTAGAACAGCAGCCTAGACACAAACAGGCTGTTTGACTATAGGCAAATCAACCTCTGGGTGCTGCCTGGCAACTCTGAAACTGTTGGAAATGAGTTGCTTTTCTGCATGGGTGCTAGTTCACTGATGAAACAAGACCAGACCCCCACCCACTAAAAAAAAAAAGTACAGACACATTGCTTTTGGGTTTGCGATCTGTATTACTGGAGGGAGTTTCCACACCAGGAAGTTACCCCCTCCCCCTAAAGTGCCAGGTTCAGAACACAAGGTGCAAAGTGTTTTACAGACATTATCTCATTTGATCTTAACTACAAGCCTGTGAGGCAGGTACTACAGACATTGCTATTATCTTCATTTTACTGATGAGGAGACTGAAACTCAGAGATAAGTCAAGGAGCATTGCTTCTTGGCCCTACAGCTCATAACTATTGGAGGTGGAATCTGAACCTAGCTCCCTTCAGACTTCCCTGGAGTCTGAGCCCAAACCTAGAAATTCTAAGCTCAACTCTGCAATTTAATGGCCCTGGGGCCAACAGCTGTCGTCTTTCTCTGACTCATCTTCCTGATCTGTCAAAATCAATAGGTAGGCTAGGAGATAGTCCAGGTTCCTTCCTACATCATACTGGAGTGGAAAAAGCATTGGCTCTGGATTCAGAGGGTGTGGGTTCAAATCCAGACTTGGCCCTGCCCATACAACCCTCGGCACCCTGCGTGTCAGCTTCTTCCTGTGTAAAATGAGGGGTTTGGGCCGCTGAGGTTGCTTTCAGCTCTGAATTAGGACCCTGGCATTCTCTTGGCCATTGAGCTTTTCTTCCAAGAGTGGGCTTAGCTGACAAGCTGAGAGTATGCCCGGCTCCATTCTGAGTGACTGGTATTGAGACGTGAAGCCAGAGCACCAGAGGAGGCACTGTTTTCAAAGAGGTAGAACCTCTCTCTAAAAGAGGGTCCTAGTTTTCAGACATACTGATGACACCAAAGGCAGCAGAAGACAAGCTTCCTTCCTTATTTCACCATCCCTGGCAGGGGGAGGGCTCCTTGGTGCAAGGGTTTCTGTTTATATCATGTGCTTGCAGCTCTGGGGTAGACTAAAGGGCAGAGGGGAAAGGGGAAGAAACATACAACTTAGCTTCCTAAAAGGGGCACTTCTAGGATAGCAGTATTGATTCTATCATCTATCAGCCAACCAGCCAGCACTTATTAAGCACCTACTGGAACTGGTTTAGGTATGGGAATATAAATGAGATAACATATATAAGGGCAGCTAGGTGGTGAAGCAGAGCACCAGGCCTGAAGTCAGGAAGACCTGAGTTCAAATCCAGCCTCAGACACTCACTGGCTATGTGATCCCGGGCAAGTCACTTCACCCTGTTGGCCTCAGTTTCCTCATCTATAAAATGAACTGGAGAAGGAAAATGGCAAACTATTCCAGTGTCTTTGTCAAGAGAACTCCAAATGGGGTCACAAAGATTTGGACACAACTGAAACAACTGAACAACAATATATGTGAAGTGCTCTGAAAACTTTAAAATGCCGGCTATTGGCTGTAACTATTATCAGAAGATGAAAACAAAGCAGTTCCTGTGCTCAAGGAGCCTCCATTGTATTGAGGGGAAAATCAGCCAATCAAAGGATCAATCCTGGTGCCATTTCTAGAAGGGGGAGGGGGGTTCACTATCAGGGTGGGGAACCTGTGGCCTCAAGGTCACGTGTGGCCCTCCAGGTCCTCAAGTGTGGCACCACACCTGGTGAAGGCCTGTACTAGGTACACAGGAAAATACTAAGAACGTAAAAAGTGGTTTGGGTTTGGCCAGTAACTATGATTTCACGGTTCCGGGGAGCTCCTGGTTCCCCAATCAGAAGCAGAGTTCCCTTTTCTGGAATTCTCTGGGCATGTCATGAATGTAACTTATACAAAGTTCTAGGAAGCCGTTTGAAGGAGAGAGCTCTAATAACTAAGGGGAATCTGGCAAGGGCTTGTTTGGGAGCTGAATGGTGATTTGAAGGATTGTAGGGATTTATAGTCAAGTTGATTATATACAAACCCTGGGGATATGAAGAAAGATTAAAAAAACAAAGCACCATGCCTGCCTTCAGGGAGCTTATAGTCTAATGGAAAAGAACATGAAAACAACTATAGGCATGCAAGATATAGGTGGGATAAATTAGGGCTGGAAGGGACCCTGGAGTTCTCTAGTTACCTAGCAGATAAGCAATAAATCTGGAGTCAAGAAGTCTTAAGTTCAAATCTGGAGAATGAAAGACCAGCTTAAATCTGGCCTCAGACATTTATTGGCTGTGTGACTCTGGGCAAGTCACTTAACCTTTATTCACCTCAGTTTCCTCCTCCGCAAAATGGGGATTATGATGGCACCGCTTTCCCAAGGTTTCTGTGAGTCTCAAATGAGATATTTCTAAAGTGCTTTGCAAACTTCGAAAGTGATTGTTACTAGAGCGAGCAACCCCCTCCATTTATGGCTTAATTGATCAATAAGCATTCATTAAGCTCCTACTGTATGCCAGGTACAATGGAGGAAACAAAGTTGGTAGAGATTAAATGATTCACCTGAGGTGTCCCAGGTAGAAAGTAGCAGATGGAAGATTCTAACAGGCCAAGGATGGGGGGGGGGAGCGGCCTTTGCGAAACTGCTGTTCCCTGGTTCACCAAGCTGGAGTTGGTTAACGATTCAGTCCCAGCAGGGAGGAGCCAAACAGCCCACAGAGGTGACCCAGCTCCCTTTAGAGGCACTGAACAGGCAAGGCCAGTCTTATCAGCACATCTGCCGTCAGCAGAGTTGTCCCTCACGGTGACTCTTTCAGCTCCCTTCGGAACTCCTGCTTCCTCCCAGAGCCACTGAGCTATTTTTGGAAGGGCCTCATCCTTCCAGGACAGTGCCTCCACCCCCTGGAGGTTTCCCAAGGCCCTCCCGGGATGACCACTGGGCACAGCTCTGAAAATTACCAAGAGCTTTCAGCTACTTCAAAGGGCTAAGCTCCATACAGAAGGATAATGACCCACCCAGAGGCAGGTAAAAATCTGGAGAGCATTGAGCTCTGCCAATGGTTCTGAGCTTTACTGACCCCTTTCTTTACAAGGACCTGTGATGATGTTGTTAGCACATTCCTGGGTATGGGAAGTCCTTCCAGCAATACAGATCACCACTCTTGTAGAATATATAGCCTTAGAGAGTTACCTTGGGCACTGAGAAGGTGATTTGCCCAGGGTCACACAGCCATTATGGGTCAGGCAAAACCTGAACCCAAAACTTGACAGCAAAGTCAGCTCTCTATGCACCTACCTGTAAATCCTAGCTGAAGAGTTGGAAAAAACCAGAGTTTCCTTCAAAGCCCAGTTCAGAGGAGTTCTCTCCTACCTGACATCTTTCTTGAACCTGCCTCCCCCCCTCTTCTAGTGCCACCCCCAAATCACTTGTATTCATTTTGCTTATATGCATTTTGTAGCTTCCTTATATACTTATCTGTGCCCATGCTGACTCCACCAATAGAATATGAACTGAGGACCAGGACTGTTTGATCTTCGTAGCTCCAGGGCCTGGCACACAGTAGGAGCTTAATAAATGCTCGTTGATTCATTGATTGAACCAAACCCATTCATTTTCCTCTCTGTAAAGATTAGGGATATGAAATTTGTTTACACTCAGGGTATGACAATCTTCCCCAAACACCATGGGCAATTTCCATAGACTATTGGAACTGAAAGAGACCTTTAAATAAATCTCATCCATCTCCCTCATTTTTAGAGGTGAGGAAACTGTTCCAGCGGTGTTAAGTGATTTCACAAGGTCACACAGCAAGTTAGTGGCAAAACCAGGATTTGAACCCAGGCCTCCTGACTCCTAGTGGACTATTTCCTATGTTCCATACTGCTTGCCACAATTTGAAGCCACTAGGCAGAGCTTTCAGAGATTCGAGATCCTGCTGCTCCATCTCCCTACAAAAGTGCCAAAAGACCCCGCAGTCCAGAGAGCAAGAGCCTGATGACCCTCAGTGACCCTACCACGTTTAGGCTGGGCACCATTCTGAAGCTCCAAAGGAGAGGGAGCAGGGCATTCAGGTTACCCACTCACCCAAGTCAGCTCCTCTAAACCCAAGACGGGCTCAAGAGGAAGAATGGCTGAGTTAAAACCTCCAGAAACTGTATTGTTTGAAAGGTAAAAGGAATACAAATCCTTCCCTAGGATTTAGGGCTTGGGCTTTCTGTCTTCAGGTGCCCAGATGAATTTTGCTGTTTTGGATGTGATCAAAGTCAAGGTGAAAAAGGAAGAGAGAATCCTATATCCTTGGCTTCCAGAATTTCTGCAGCTTTTATCATTGAAATAAAAGCCCTGGGAGCAGTGTGGTTCAGAGGGGGAAAGAAAGTTGTATTGCTAGAGGATT